TCCTGGGGCTGGAGGCAAAATTAAGCAAAAACCGGCCTGTTTTTCGCTCATTTCTACCCTCTCCAGCCCCCAGGAGCACTCTGAAAGCCTCCTAAAGGCAATGCACGGCCATTTTGGTGAAGAGGGTCGGGTTTTGGGAGGCAAAAAAATGCTGTATTCAGTGTATAAGACGCACCCAGATTTTCAGAGTCTTTTGAGGCAAAAAGGTACGTCTTATACTCCAAAAAATACGGTAGTAAATATAACACATATATGAATAGGTTTTTGATTGATTTATGCTGTAATTCATTATTAAAAAGATATAATTGTAAATGAAACACTATCAATTGTATTAATCTGCTGATTTTTCATTGGAATTTTTCAAGAATCCCCCCTTCTCTGGAAAAAATATATAGTTTCAGCCTAAACTGTGGATAATGTGCAGTCACATAGTAATGTTTCTTTTAAACTGTTGTCGAAAACCAGTTGATAAATGATAATGCTTGACATAATGCAGCATAAACATGGAATACCAAAGTATTGCTTACCATTTCCACGCCACACTTCAGAAAGATGGCAGCTACCTTCACCAGGTTCTTTGCAAAATTCCACCACATCTCGACAGGTTGTTTCAGGAGTAATTGGCACTTCAGTCAAAATTTGTTCATTATTGCTCAGGAACACTGTCAATATCATCTGAAAAACAGGAAACCGCTGTACAATGTAGATCAAAAATCTTTCAATCATGCAATCTGATCTGTATAATTTGGTGCACTGTCCTGTTTTTAAACCACAGAACAAGGATCCTTTATAAAATTCGGCAAATATTCACTGAAAAATGAAACAGAATAAAGATACGCCTAAAGATCAACAGAGTTAATAAAAGAAATTACTCCCATCTAAAATAATCATGTTCTGGTGATATGTTATATCTGATTACAGTAGACTGGAAATAAATAAAAAAATGTTATGCTCACAGACTGGTAATCAGAATATAAGTCAGCAAAAACAATACATCTGATTTTCAATCAAGTACCAATTTAAGCAGTGCATCCCATTGAATCAAGAAGCCTTAATATAGTTTTTATTATAGCTTATATTGTTAAATTGCAATAAATGAGACCTTAGATAAATGTGGTTGGATCTAAAGAATGAATGGAATAAATCTACTCCCTAGCTCTCATCCAGTAACATTATAACCACTAATAAAAGAACATTGGTTTCAAAGGGAACTTGGGGTTATTCCTAAGATTCTGGTGCATGATTTGGCTTCAGCCTTGCTTGCAGGCTGGAATGAGCACACAAGGGCCTTGGGATAGGATCACACCTATATGGACTCTGTGATCATGGATCCCATAGGGCCCCCAGTTTATGGCAGAGCTCCAGAAAATGAAACAATACAAGAAACACCTAGAGAATTGTTGGAAGAAGAGGATGGATGAAGTCAACCAAGCATGTAAGAGCCTTTATTAGGACTTAACTTGTGAAAGTAAGAGCAGTGAAGTGCATTTATTTCTTTGCTCTTATTGCATCTGCAGATGACCAGGGGCTTTTATAATGACCTATTATTTAAAAAATGTGCCTTACAATTAAGCTGACAAAATGTAAGATAACACATCCAACATTAAAAAAATATTTTAAGAAGATGAACCTAAACAAATTTATTTACCTATTATACTAGGCAACCTCATATAATTTCTTCTTCCTAGGAAATAGCAATAGTACTTAGATTTATATACCACTTCACATTGTTTTACAGTCCTCTCTAAGCAGTTTACAGAGTTAGCATATTGCCCCCAACAATCTGGGTTCTCATTTCCTCAGAAGGATAGAAAGCTGAGTCAACCTTGAACCAGTGAGAACTGCTGGCAGCCTGCAGTACTGCATTCTAACCACTGCACCACCAAAATGATAAAACAATGTAATTTTTTGATCACAAGAACTGTTTGTGAACAATTACGTCTGCTATTGAATGTATTTCAATAAAATTATAGTCTGCTGAAGCATACAACCTATTTAACTCTCTTTTTTCCTGCAGCAACAGCAGCAGTTTTGCTAAAAGAGAGGAAGAGGTAACTAGAAGTGTCTAGTTGCAATTTATAGACTCAGACTTACAAAATGTAGGCAACAGAGAATATGAAGTACAAATAATTAATTAAGAACAATTGTACAAGCATGATCATGTAAAATGCTCTTAAGTGTATGTTTATAAATGATATGAAGAGTGGCTCTGAAATGTGTCATGAGACTGCATCAAAATTTTTAGACATACATTTTAAGATTTAATGAGTACACTAGACAATTCAAATTTATTGTTTCATCTACAAATTCAGGAAATGCAACAGCATTTAACTGTTGTTAATAAAAATAACCTAAGGCATGACTTTGTAAATTACAATTGCAAGGTCAGACTAAACTAACCTTCTAAAACTATCTTGACTATACAATAGCCTCTTGCTCATTGCAAAATAGTGCATTATTTTTCAACTTGACAGATATTTGTCAGTTAAAAAATACTAACAATTGTTTTGCACCTTTATTCTTTCTAAAGTACCAGGAGGCAATCACTAAAATAATATACAGATGTCAAGGCCACCAGAGAATTCTCCAGATATGCAATAAATAAAGGATCCCAAATAGTAGAAAAATGAATGTTCTACTAAATATTCACATACAGATATTAAAGCCTCCAAAAATCCATTTTCTAAGAAACAACAGCAAAAACCTGTCTTACAAGCAGAATGCTTTTAATTATGGAATATTATAAATATGAGGGGAATGTAGAAAAATGCTATTTTTCAAAACTCTCTGCTGCCCTTATCAATATTTGTTACATAATTTTTAATTTGTAAGCTAGTATCTACAAGACAATGCGATTGTAACAATATTCTAAAAATATTAAGTAAAAAAAAATCAAGCACAAAATGTAAATATGCAAGTGAAAACAAACTCATGTACAAACAGTAAATTTCTAAACATAAAAACATTACTGTGTCTGTAGTACATAATAATTGCAAACCACCCCACAAATATAAGAATCATTGTGAGAGCATCACAACAATGAAAAAAAGCTGTTTTCATTCTCACCTTTTTTTTCATTATTTTGTTTACTTTTCTGTTTCTCTGATTTATGCTGTTCCTGCTATGTGGACAATCTTTGTCTTTTGAGAAGTTTACGAGGCTTTGGAGAATCATTCTTAAAAGGTTCATGTGTAAATCACAGAGGAAAAAGGTGGCTTTTTAAAAATAAAAAATAAAATATACAGTGAAAACTAGAATCTAAAATAGCTCCTGTGCACAGGCTGCAGTGAAAATCTACTTAAATGGGCATCTTCTGGATGTGGAGTAAATGAATACAAGAGATAATGACGTGTGAAGATAAGCCGCCCTACTGAAACAAGACAGAGCCTAGTGACAGCAGATATTGTGGATTGGGCTTCACCTAATTAGGTAAGTTTACAAGAAGAATTCACTTAATCAAATGTGTAGCATTAACCACTGCCTCAGTTTAGGAAATGCATATCTAAATGAGAGCATTTAAAGTAGACATTGAATTAAACAAAAAATAATAAAGTTATAATACAGTTACATACTGTATACATTCCAATTTTCCATCATTTTACCCCACTAAGAAAAAAATGAAACAATGATAAATTTTTATACAAATATCAGGATAATGATAAGTTTCATTTAGCTCGCTTCTCTAACTTATGAAGTTCATTTGCATCTTATTTTGTTTTTCATATATTTGCTATTTCATCCAAATTTTAGCATTTGCAAGTGTGATGTACATTCAATTCATCTCATTATCCATGTGATTAATAAAGATGCTAAAGAACATAGTCCTGGACAATGTTCCCTCTAATTTTTTTTCCGTGTGAGCGGAAAAGTATAGTGTTTGAGCAGCACATTTTCATACCTGAGCACCTGGATTTTTTCCATAGATGTCACCCAAGACAACGAACTTAGTGTTATTTGAAACTCAATTCTACCATGTAAATATCCATTAAGTAACGAAATCTCCCTATACAGGTAGTCCTCAATCTACGACCATCATTGAGCCCAAAGTTTCTATTGCTAAGCGAGATATTTGTTAAGTGAGTTTTGCCCCATTTTACAACCATCTCTCAGTCTGAGGGGTGAAATTATATGCCCCTCAGAGAGG